CTTGCTGTAAAAAGTCAATAAAATATATATATTTTTAAAAAGTGCCCAATCATTTTTCAGATTCCATACCATCCTGCATTCCGGCCGTGGGTGAGACCCAGCTCCTTCACAGCCTTGTCCACACTGGTATGGTCAGTCTTCTTATTTCAGCCGTAGGTCTGGAAGGCGGCATCAGTGGCTTTAATTTGCATTTCCCTAGCGACTAGTGATGTTAAGCATTTTCTCATGGGCTTATTTGCTGTTTCTATGTCTTCTTTTTTTAAAAAAAAAAAATGTTTTTATTGATTTTTAGAAAGAGGAAGGGAAAAGGAGAGAGAGATAGAAACATAGTTGAGAGAGAAACATCCATCAGCGGCCTCCTGAACACCCTCTACTGGGGATAGAGCCCAAAACCCGGGCATGTGCCCTGACCTGGTTCATGTGTCTCCACTCAACCACTGAGCCACACCAGCCAGGCTTGGTTAATTTTTATGTAAGGTGTGAGGTACAGGTTGAGGATCTCTCTCTCTCTCTCTCTCTCTCTCATCTCCAATTGTTCCAGCAGCATTTGTTGAAAGACTGTTCTCTTTTCATTGACTTGCATTTTCACCTTCATTAAAAATCCAGGGAGTGTGTGTGTGTCTTTCCAAATTTGTTTTGCTTATTAAATCACATTGTTGATCTTTTCAAAATTGCCAAACCTTTAGCGAGATTAACTGAGAGAGAGAAAAAGAAAGAAGACTCAAATCATGAAAATCAGAAATGAAAGGACAAATAGTGTATGTTCCACTCTCTCTTGAATGGGCCAGTTCATAAAGACAGAAGGAGCACAGAGCTTGCTGGGGCTGGGGGGGGGGGGGGGCGGCAGGGGCAGGGGGCAGTGGGGAAGCGGGCGGGGGGATGGAGAGTTGTTGCCTAATGAGGAGAGGTTTCTGTTTGGCACGAGGAAAGGGCTCTGGAAGTGGTGGCGATCGTTGCCCAATATTGTGGATGTTCTTGATGCCCCTGAGCTTGTACACCTTTAATTGTTTTAAAATGGCAAATTGTATGTCATGTGTCTACATTTTACAATAAAATAAAAGATCTTGATGTTGACCTTGCTTGGAGACCTCTCCCGTGCTGGCTTTGAAGAAGCAGCTGCCATGTAGGGAGTGAGCCATGTGGCCAGGAGGCGAGGGAGCCCCCAGCCCCGGCCAGCCAGGCCCCGAGGCTGACTGACAACCTGCAAGCGACTGATTCTGCCCAGAACCACGGAGCTTGGAAGCAGATCTGTCCCCGGGAGAACCTCCTGTGAGGAGGCAGCCCCGCCCACAGAGGCTCTTTAGGGCCCTGAGGCGGAGGCAGTCACCGGCACAAATGCCCTAATTCCCCGGAGACCCCTGGCCTCGGAGCCCTGAGAGGTGAGCTCTTCCAGCGCGGGAACCGGGAGCTTCCGGTGCGGGGAGCTGGGCGGGAGGGATCCCCCGGGAACGGTCTCTGGCCGGGCAGCACCCACCGGGAGAGGATGCTGGAAGGAGCCGCGGCCACCAGGTGGCGCCCTTGCACTTTCCTGGAGGGAGGGGGGGGGCAGGGGCGATGCTGGCTGTCCCAGAGGAAACGGGCCCCGCCTGCGGGGTGCCAATGTGGGTGTGGCCACGCCCCCAGGCTGTCTGTGCCACCTTTGTAGACAGACTGACAGACAGACCTGGAGGGCATCCTACCCTGCCAATTGGGCAGTGACTTGGCCTTCCCCTGCCTCAGTTTCCTCACTGTGACGGGAAGCGCGCCCCCTTGGGGCCACGCCGGCCTCTCACTTCTCCCGTGGCCTTTGTGTGGACTTGGATGCATCGAGTAGACACCCCCCGCCTCCGTGTGCCACTCTTGCTCTGGGCACTGAAGCGGCATGGCAACAGGCCCGGAAGAGAGGCTCTGAGGGCCCTCTGCTGGGCAGCCCTCCCTGAGCTCCCAGGAGGGCCCGGTGCCTCCTGTGTGTGCCCACCTCTTCCTCTTCCCATCTTCCTTGCGCCTCACCCACTAGACATGTGCTCCTGGGGGGCAGGGTGGGCAGCGTCATCTCTGAATGCCCACTTGGTTAGCAAACAGTGGGCGCTCAATAAGTGCCCGGTGAGCTAATGCTCAACAGGCCTTTCCCGCAGGCCAGGATGGCTGCCTGGTCACTACAGTCTGGTGGCCTCCAAGGCAGGGGACAGCCCAGGGCTTGGACCTGCGGCCCCCGGATTGGGACAGCCTGCGTGGAGGGGCTGTCTGTGGCCCAGCGCTGGCCCCTGGGAGGGTCTGCCCTGGCCTGGGATGCTGGGCACAGCTTGACTTGTATCCCGGGAAGGGCTATTGGCAGGAAAATTGCAGGTTTGCGCCTGGAGGGGTCCCTGGCTGCAGGTGGACAGCGCTGGGTTGGGCTGGCCGCCGGTGGCGGGGCCCCAGGAGGCAGCAGCAGGGCCCGGGCAGGAGAACGCCCCGCTCGTAGGAATATTCAGGATGGTCCGTTGGACTCAGGGACAAAGCACAGGTTTCCAGCTCAGGTGAGCAACGATGCACGTGGAGTCCCTGGCTGGGGCTGAGAGACAGGCAGGCCCTGTGACATCCCACGCCCCGACTCCTTGGATGTAGGGGTACCAGGAGAGGCCCCTGATCACAAGCTGAGCCAGCCCAGTGGTGCCCCTTGTCCTACCTGCCCAGAAAGGAACAGGGCACCTGGTCGTGAGAACGCCCTCTGCACCCTGGCTCACGTGGGTTCAGGGCTCACATGGGTCCAGGGCTCACGTGGGTTCAGGGCTCACGTGGGTCCAGGGCTCACGTGGGTTCAGGGCTCACGTGGGTCCAGGGCTCACGTGGGTTCGGGGCTCACGTGGGTCCAGAGCTCATGTGGGTTCGGGGCTCCAGCTCCAGGTGAAACTCAACCAGCAAGGGGTGGAGCCTGCCCTTCACAGAGCAGCCTGTCTCAGAGCAATGCTGCCAGCTGGCCTGGAGCTCAGGACCGCAGGGATGATAAGGTAGGACTGGAACTCCCGCCTCCCAGCCACGGCCATGCAATCACAGCCCCTGCGATCACCTGTGCAGGGGGGCTCAGGTGTGTGACGGGGAAGGGAGGAGCAGGGGGGCTCAGGTGTGTGACGGGGAAGGGAGGAGCAGGGGGGCTCAGGTGTGTGACGGGGAAGGGAGGAGCAGGGGGGCTCAGGTGTGTGACGGGGAAGGGGGGAGCAGGGGGGCTCAGGTGTGTGACAGGGAAGAGCAGGGGGGCTCAGGTGTGTGACAGGGAAGAGCAGGGGGGCTCAGGTGTGTGACAGGGAAGAGCAGGGGGGCTCAGGTGTGTGACAGGGAAGAGCAGGGGGGCTCAGGTGTGTGACAGGAAGGGAAGAGCAGGGGGGCTCAGGTGTGTGACAAGAAGGGAAGAGCGGGGGGCTCAGGCTGGTTGGGCTCAGCGGCTGTTCAGTCGGCTCAGGCAGCGGAGGCCTGAGAGCGGGAAGGGGCCCCTGGGCCTGTGGACCAACCAGTGAGGAAAGACGGGCTGAGGACTGGCGAGGGCGGCGTGGAAGTTCTGACCCGTCTCCCCACCCTGTGTCCTCTCCATCCCTGGCTCTTACATCATCTCAACCGATCTGGGAGTTACTATCCTGGTCTTTATCACGGGCCATTTGAAATCCCTTTTTGGAGGAGGAGGAACTTAAACGAGAGGAGCTGTTGCCCAGGCCTGGCTCAGGAGACCTCTGTGATGGGGACCTGGGGTCGGACAAAATCCGTCTCTTCCTCAGGCTTCTGGGTAGAGAAGCAGGAGTGGCCGCCCCTCCCCCGCCCCAGGTCCATGACGGATGCTATGACGGATGCTATGCCGTTTCCCCACTTCACAGGCGAAGCCGCCAAGCTCCAGCACATTCCACGCTTGCTCAGAGCAGGTGGCAGCGGCTGCAGACCCGGCCTGGGTACCCAGCCTCGCGTGCTGCCCGTCAGCTCCCGCTGCCGTGGGCAGGGGAAGGCCCACTCACTCACACGCGATGGCTCCGATTGAGCCCTGCGGTCCCAGAGCGCACTCGCCCCGGGAATCTGCGTGCGGAGAGCCAAGTGCGGTGGCGTGGGGATTTGCCTGGTGCCTGCAGCCCTCGGCGTTGCTCCAGGGTCAACTCTAGTTAGAGAGCCGGGCTTACCCTGACTGCGGCCCCAGTGTGGGCTGTCTCCTCTGTGCCACAGTGGGCATGCTTTAAAATGGGGAGGGAAGCCCTAGCCGGTTTGGCTCAGTGGATAGAGCATCGGCCTGTGGACTGAAGGGTCCCAGGTTTGATTCCAGTCAAGGGCACGTGCCTGGGTTACAGGCTCAATCCCCAGTAGGGGGCGTGCAGGAGGCAGCCAATCAATGATTCTCTTTCATCTTTGATGTTTCTCTCTCTCTCTTCCCCTTCCTCTCCGAAATCAATAAAAATATATTTTAAAAAAGAAAATAAGATGGGGAGGGAACCTGATCTCCCCGGGCTCAGGGGGAGCGCAGTGCGTTCCCTGCATCAAGCAGGACAGTAGCTGGTACACGGCAAGGACACAGGTGTGGCTCTGAGGGCCACTGGTGTTGGGAAGCAGGAGCCAGGAACCCAGGGCAATTGTCCCGCCGAGGGGAGAGGGCCCTGTACTCACTGGGGCCTGGGGCTCCCCAGGTTCCAGGGTGACCTGGGTCAAGTTGTAGTAATGACCACCTGAGGCGAGTGCACACACGCGGGGCCACTGCGAGTGGGGGCTCAGCAGGTCCAGGCTGACCTGGTTACAGCGTGTGGCTCAGGTGCGGTTCACACGGTGGGTGCAGATCTCATGCCCAAATCAAACTCCACACGGTTCACCACCTAATGGTCCAGGGAGAGGGGATTAGAGGAAAGGGCGGTCTCCGCAGGGCACCAGAGACCCCTCCCGCTGAGTGTGGGCAGGTCTGGGCACCAGAGCGAAGCCCAAGGAAGCGGCCCAGGCATAGCAAACTCCAGGGCCTCTCGTATCTGCAAAGGCTCCCCTTGGCGAGGTGGGCGGCGGGGCCACAGAATGGAAAGCTCTGAATGGAAAGCGGCCGTTGCTTTAATTCCTGCCAGGGTCTGACACAACAGGGCCCACCCACCCCAATCACTGCCCGCTCCATCGACATGATCGTTTACAAAAATAAATATGAAAAAAGCAACATTTTAGTGACCGTGGAATTAATCCGACCGTAATTAAATGTGTTTAAACATCTGGCAGAGCTCCTGAATTGCACCAAAGGATTTGGAAGCACTTGGTTTGGTCTCGGGGGAACATGGAAGGAGGGCAGGGCCCAGCCCCCGGAGGGTCCAGCTGGAGCCGAAGGCCAGCCTCTGCCCCCTCACATTTCTGAGTCCGCGTACATCCCGTTAATCAAGTAGTCCACCTGCGTGTAGTCCTTCTTCTTGTAGTTCTCGTAGGCCTGCAGCGCAAACAGGACCAAGACCGCGAAGAGAAAGGCCACCCCAAGCAGGAGCATGGCCAGCAGTGCCCCCCTGTTCACCGGGGACAGCGGCAGGGCCCTGGTGGTGACCGCCAGGTACTGGCCCTGGGTGCTGAGCTGGCACGAGTCCGTGGTTGGCACCTGAGGGTCCCCTGAGCTCCCGGGGGTTGGGCTGGTGGGAGCAGGGCCACCTGTGGCCTCAGGCCACACCTGCTCGGGTGTGGAGGGCGTGGCAGGCCCCGTGGCCCCCCGTGGAGATGACACAGGGCTTGGCGGTGTTGTGGGGGACGTGGCCTCCACCCCAGGTGTGGGGCTGGCCTGTGGCACAGGAGCTGGCACTGTGCTGGCTGCTGGCCCTTCAGCTGTCACCGCCGTGGTGGACACGGCAGCCACGGAGGGGGTGGGCTCTGGGGTTGTGTTCTCGAGGGGCGGGGTGGGCCTACTTGCTGTGTCTGCCACGGGTCGGGCGGTCGATGGCTGGGTGGTGGGACCTTGTGTGAATGTGTTAAGTGCGTGGGGACTCGTGGGGAGCGTGGGGCGGGCTGTGGAGTGGCGGGGGGTGTGCTCGGCGGGGCCCTGTGAGCCCCGGGCGCTGCTGGCATTTGCCGTGGTGGCGGCAGCAGTCTGCGTGCTGGTGGCCAACGTCGTCCTGGGTGCTGCTGTTGGCAACGTACCGTCGCTGGGTGCCTGGGTGCGGGGTGTGCTGAGAACGGCCGTGGACGCCGGGGTTGGCTGTGTGGACGTCGGCGTGGGCACCCTGGAGTCCGTGAGGTTGGCGGGACCCACGGTAGCTGCCGAGGTGCCCCCGTTGGTCCCGGGTGTCCTCCCTGCCGTGACTGCAGGGGAGCTGTGGGCGGCTCCCGAAGTCTCTCTGGCCAACGTGACAGGAGAGGGTGTCGTCGCGCCCTCTGAGGTTCTATTAAAGATGCTGTCAGTTGTTTCCCTGGATGTGCTTTTTGTGACTAAATCAGCCTGCGTCTGGTTGAAGACGAAGGTCCCTTAATGTCAGAAAGGGGAGAAAAAGGCACAGTCAGGGGGCTGGCTGGTGGCTTCGCTGGCCTGTCTCCTGGACCCGGAGAGACGAGTGTGCACAGCTTCCCATCTCCTCGCTGCCACACCTGGCCTGCAGCCCACCACAGGGGCAGCTGGCACTTTGGTTTACAACTGCTCTGCCCTCTCTGAACCCCAAGCCTGTGGAAGGCTTAAAAGCTTCCCTCTTTGATCCAATCCCCAAAATAGCAGACAGGGTGAGCCTCACATCACAGGTGTGACTCCTCATTAAACCCTCAAACACCGTGTCTTACAGAGCAGATAACCCGCCGCCCAGGATTCCCACCAGAGGCCTCTCGGCTTCATGAAGGCTCTGCAGCAGGGTGCCTGATGGGGGGGGGGGGGGGGGTGTTGTGGGATGCCTGGGGGCGGGGGGGGGGGGCCCTGTCAGAGCGGCAGCCACCAAGTGTCTGAGGTCTGCATGGACAAACTCCCCAGCAAAGGCCAGGCTTCTGGAAGTAAGGAGGCTTTGCAGGGTCCAGCCAGAGACCCGCTCAGGGCTCCGAGGCCCGGCCCATTGGGGGCTCCCTACCCTCGCTGGGCCTGGAGAAGCTCCGCCTGACAGCCCTTCCCAGCCTGGCTCCTGTGGAGCTCGGGGGCTCCCCACTCTCAGCTGGGGCTCGCAGACACCCCTCGGGCTGAGGGTGCGCTGGGGCCCCTGGGGCCTGTCCAGCAATGCCCCCGCTTTCTCACTCACCTGGATCCCGGGGCGCCACTCGGCTCTCAGAGAAGGATAAGGAGGAAATGCAAGCGAGCACCAGGGCTGTCCACATCTTGTGGGTGAGCCGGGAGCAAGGCTGGGCAGTCCCTGGGGCTCCCAGCCGCCACTCAGGCTGCTAACGATGCCGGCTACGCGGCCGAGGGATCTGTGATCAAGAGACAAGGCGTCCGGTCAGTCACGCACAGCCTGGCCTGGGCACAGCACTGCGCCGTGTGCGGGGCTCTGGCCTGGGCTGGTGTGCCAACGAGCCAAGTGCCTCGACCAGGCTGGCACCCAGAAGAGCGCGCCGCGTCTCAGCCACGGTGATTAGTGATCTGACCAGCGTCTGTGTTTGATGGTTTAAAGCACTTCCTGACCTGGTTCCACTGTGAGTCTCAACCCCACAGTGCCCACCACCCACCCCCGAGTTCAGTTTGAAGGAGCAGCGGGGCAAGGGCTGAGGCCTCCTGATCACCAAGATGGGCCAAGTCTTCCTCCTCAATGTCTCCTGTGGCCGCGGGACACAGCCCAGGCCCATGGCACCTCTGTGCAGCCCGGACGGCGGACCAGGCCCTTCACACGGAGACGCCACTCAGCCAGCCACCATCCAGCCACCCACCCAGCCACCGTCCAATACCCCAGGGCCCACTCCTGTGCCAGGCAGCGCACAGGACAAGAAGGTGGAAGCCACACAGCGCCCTCCAGGAAGCCTGCCGTCCGCGGCAGACACAGAAAAGAGGTCCCTGCGGGCTGGCGCGGACATGGAGCGGAGGTATGACTCGAGCAGGAAGCCTGGCAGGTCTTGAAGGGTAAGTTAAAGGCGGGTCTTCTGGGAGACTGGGTGAGGGTGGGGAGGACAGGGTGCTGCAGGGGTCCAGAGGAGGCACTGAACTCAGGGCGGGTGGGTGGGTGGGAGTGGGTGTCAGAGAAGGTTTGCTGAGAAAGTGGCACCTGAGCCATGTTCTTGAAGATGGATGGGCTGTGCCTGCTGGGAGGCAAGTGGGAGAAAGCAGCAGGTGACAGCAGCAGGGAGGTGCCCAGGGACAGTGTGGTGAGACCTGCGATTAGACTGGACAGGTAGGTTGTCCACCAGGTGAGGGGCGGGGAGGGCACAGGCCGGCAGGCAGGGACGAGGCCCCATGAGGCTGTGGAATTGGTGAGGGGGCGCCACTGTCGAGACGGAGGGCAGGCTGAGAGGACTGGTTGCAGGAGCCCAGCGTACATCCCATTAATTAAATAGTCCACCTGCGGGAGACAGCCGGACGGCAGAAACTTCCGGAAATGCCACCATGGCCAAGCCTCACCAGGATGAGGTCCCTCTCGAGTGTCACAGGCTGGGACTCCTTGCTGCAGGGGTGCCACGGGGAGCCGAGGGGCCAGCTGACCTCAAGTGTCCCGTCACCTCAGCCCTGCCCAACGGCCCGAGTCCCACATGGTCCTCCCCGGACAGCAGCCTGGCCACACTCACTCATGCCTGGTCCCTGACTCACCGCTCGATTCCAGCAGAGGGCAGGCCGGTGGGACTCTAAGGGCAGGCAGGCAGCAAGAGTGGGGCTTCCCAGCGTCCCTCCAAAGTCAACCCTGCCCGAAGCCACCTGAGGCCTTCGGTCTCCCCAAGGGCCCTCACCGTGTGGGTCCCGAGTTCCACGGAGCATCACGGGAGGGAGCTGAGGGCACGGAATGAACATCCTGATCGGCTCCTCGCCCAGCACGGCCCTGCAGCCAGGCCACTCCTGGTGACCGGCACAGGCTCTGTCTCCTCCCGCCCCCATCAGCCCGAAGCGTCACAAGTGAATCACCGCTGCCCTGACCCACTTGCCCCCACCCCCACCCCACAGCTGCCCAAAAGACCCTGGCAACCCACAAAGTTGACCCTGCCTCCACGGCTCAAACCCCCACCTCCCTAGATAACCCCAAAGCTCCTTAACAGGGCCCAGGTGGCCTCCAAAGTCTGGCCCCACTGGCCTCTCCGCTACCCTCGCCCTCGTCCCGGGCACGTGGAATACCTGTCCCTCCCAGTGCAGAGCCTGGCTTAGCCAGCAGCCCACAGACAGCCCGTGCAGCAGAAAGGGATGTTTCTGGGGCAGCCACACGGTGGCTTTCTGCCTCCTGTGATGGGCGGGGACGGTTGTAAGGTGGCCCCATGACTGCAAACCCCATCTGAGCACAAACTCTTCCGGAAGCCGGCACATCCCCTGGTGCTTCTGACCCCTCCCCACGAGTCACGGACTTTATCTCACTTCATCCTGTACTTTCCCGCCAAAATCGTCTGCAAGGGCTCCTGAGCTCACAGGTTTGGAAGGTTGCTCAGCCCTACGAACCACAGATTTGCATCCGTCTTCTAGAGAGCAAGGGCATTCTTTGTTTTGACAGACAAGTGGGGGTGGGGAGGGGAGAGAAGAAACAGACACTGTCATGAGAGAGAAGAATCGGAGTGAAGGTCCCAGGCACGAAGAACTCGCCCCTCCACCCCCCATCTGCCGAGGCCACGCAGCTGGGCTCCTGGTAAATGAATGCATTTAAGTGGCTCTCTCCAGCCAGTCACATCTGGGCATGCGTGGCCCTGTGCCTGAGCCTGGAGCTGGGTCCCCTGGGGTGGGATGACGTGTCAGGGCTTCCTGAATGCACCCCAGGCCCAGGCCCTCCGATGTCCCCTCGCTACAAGTCTCTAGAGCAGAGTTGGCAAACATTTCCTGTAAAGAGCTAGACGGCAAATATTTTAGGCTTTGTGGGCCACGCAGTCCTGGAGGATATGTACATGATGGGTGTGGCTGTGTCCCACTAAAACTCTGTTTGCAAAGACAGGTGGCAGGCAGGCCTGGTTTACAACCCCTGCTCGAGCAGTGAACTTCGGGATTCTTAGACGCAGGGAGCGCCTGATTCGATGTGCCGAGCGGATTTCCTCCTCCCCGCCTCACCCTGGGACAGACGTGGACCATTTCCCTCCTGTCCTGGGACAGGTCTCCTCCCAGAGCCCCTTCTGCCAAGAGGCACCTCCTTTACCCCGGCGTCAGCGAGGTGCTGTGCACGGGAGCTCCCACAGTATTATGGTATGGCGACACGAGCTGGGAAGCTTTTGCGGTGACTGGCTGGCATTTGTGTTACAGAAACAGATGAAGGCCACAGTGACCACACGGTCCCCACCTGTCCCCACCTTTGGACCACCCTCCCGGAGGACCTCAGAAGGCAGAACCTCTGACGTGAAGAGCCACAGTCCAGGCCCCTCCTGGATATTGGGAGGCTCAGCCCTCAGGGCTTGGCTGTCTTTCCTTCCCCTTGAGGCTCCCTGAGCTTGCAGGGTCCCCTCCGAGCTCACTGTGCCGTCACCAAGCAGGTGACCCGGCCCTCAGACACTCACCACAGGCAGGCGCTCAGGGCGCGCTCCCGGGCTCGGCACGGTGTGCTTGCCAGGCGAGGTCTGGCTCTGCAGGAGGTGAGCGCAGCTGCGAGGAGCGCTCCGGGCCGCGGCATGCTTCGTGGAACATGCGGGACACGGGCAGATGCTCCGCTCTGGTAACTGTCGCATCTGGGGTTTGAAACAGAGTGAACACTTCTTAGGAAAAGCAGGAGGAAAACGGTCCGTGAGGAGGGGGGCAGCATTCAGTAGATCATGGCTGGGAAAATGAGACTATGATCAAAACTTTCCCTGGCACGGCTTCCTCCTCAGGAAGCAATAGGACAGGTGTGCAGAGTGGAGAGCGACAGAGATGTGCATCACGGTGCTATTTATAATAGTAAACAATCGGAATGGTGCCCGAGCTGGTTTGGCTCACTGGATAGAGCGTCGGCCTGCGGACTCAAGGGTTCCAGGTTCGATTCCGGTCAAGGACATGTATCTTGGTTGCAGGCACATCCTCAGTAGGGGGTGTGCAGGAGGCAGCTGATCGATGCTTCTCTCTCATCGATGTTTCTAACTCTCTATCCCTCTCCCTTCCTCTCTGTAAAAAATCAATAAAATATATTTTAAAAAATCGGAATGGTTACGTAAAATAGGGTCCCATCCATATATAAAATACTACGGCAGCTGTTAAAAAATACACAAATGTCTATTTACTGGCATGGGAAGATGCCCAGCGTGGACTGTGAAGTGAAATGAGCAGGTCACACACAGGACACACACCACGATCCTGTTTTGTTTAAACACGTGAGCATGCAGTCACACTCGTGTGTACACAGCTGCTTGCATATCCATTCACACACAGCTACACATATATGCACACTGCCATATGTATACATATGCAGTCACACCCATGCATGTGTACAAACAATCACACACACAATTACACAAGGCGAGTGCACACGCGGAGCATTTCTATCAGGCTGTATCAGGAAACTCCACAAGATTCTCAGTTAACTTCTGCCGGATGCCATCACTGCCTGTTCACTCCCAGGCAGTGGGACTGCGGATCACTCCCACGGAACCGGGAATTGGCTGCTGTGCCGTGACTTCATCTCTCTGGTATGGTCCTGCCTCCACTTTCCAACAGCCTACTCGAAATGTCAGAATTAATTTGTGGGGACCTGTGCTAATCTGGGAAGTTGACTCACAACAGACAAACCATTCACAAGATTTAAAATAACAGTTTCCCCTGCAAAGGCTCCAGTGAACCTTAAAAGAGGGTCAGGCCAGTTATTCTCATCATTATCTGGAGACTAGACAGATCAAGATCTCAGACTACGCTAAATGGAAAGTAAAGAGACCCCTGGGCAAGAAGGAAATAGCAAGAAAGAATGAAGTTAGTATTAAGTGGGAGGGAGACCAGGGCAGATGGAAAGACAGGAGGTTAGGCTGGTGCCGGGAGTTCCCCCTTTTCAGGGGTGAGCTCCAAGTTCTGCAGAGAAGAGGCAGTACCCCCACGAGCCAGGCACCACTCCATCAAAAAGGCAGCCCCATGCCTGGCTGGCCTGGCTCAGTGGTTGAGCATCAACCTATAAATCAGGAGGTCACAGTTGGATTCCCAGTCAGGGCACATGCCTGGGTTTCGGACTTGATCCCTAGTAGGGGACGTGCAGGAGGCAGCCGATCAAGGATTTTCTCTCATCATTGATGTTTCTCTTTCTCCCTTCCTCTCGAAAATCAATAAAAAGAGGTATTTTTTTTAAAAAAGGGAGCCCCAGAAAGCTCTTGGTGTCACCTTCCCGATCCTGTTCTGGCCTCTCAACACCTCAACACCTCCTGTGTCTGATTACTTGTGTTCCCAGCCTTGGCTTGGTTTTAAACTCTTTTATGAACCTATTTATTACATGCAGGGTGCTGCGTGCAAGTTACGTGAAACCAGACTGCTTCCAATGCCTGATTCCTTTTTCTGGCTTACACAGGTTCCTAAGACCCAACACGGGAATCCTCAGGCTTGGCAAGGGACTACACACCTGTTCCCCACGTTCCGTGGCTCTGGTGATACTTATGTATCAGCAGCATCACGACCCCAGTCCCTACTCCAAGCTGGAGAAACCATACGTACCAAGGAGTGGGGACTGTGAGAGCAAGTATAGGGCAGACCGGCGGCACCTATCCTGACACGCCACCTGGCTGAACTTTGATAGCAGAACCCAAGGGACACAGGCGTGTGGTTTTGTGTATGTAGACGTTGTCCTGTGGTCCAAAGGGTGTGCCCCTGTGGCGAACGGGGGCCTGGAGCAGTGGACATTGTCTTAATTACATTGATTGCTTCCGGGTTTCTGCAAGTTTTGGTATCACAGTTAAATGCTGATTGACAGCCTAGTTTTTGTTCGCAATGTGCCTGTGTGGCAAGTTTGGCACATAAGCAGAAAAACCGGTATTTTAGGTACTTTCCTCGCCGATTCATTGAAATTTTAGAGATGCTTCCTTTGGGGAGAAAACAAAACATTATAGGCAGAATTGTTAAGTGCCATATATATGTTTTATGGCAAACTCTGTGGATGCTGACTCCTCGTGTTAGCCTAACAAATGCACACACTGTTAAGCAGCCACCCAGACACACATGGAGGAGGTAGATAAGTAGATGGAAAAGTACAACCCCTCCCCGGTAGAAAGGGCCTGCGGAGGTCTGCGTCACCGAAAGGGCCAACACTCCCTGGGCCCATCCTTGCCCTTGGAGGACATTTCAGTGCCCCGCCTACACGGGAGTGTCCCAACGTTCCCATCTGCTGCTCCCAAACCGGAACAGCCTGGTCCTCTTCTCTGCTTTGCGATCCCCTGGCTCCTGCCTCTCAGGCCCCCATCCAGGCTCCTCCTTTGGAGTCCTAGCCCCCAACCGACTCCTTCTGTTTCTTCCTCTCCCCCTATTCCGTGCCAGTGTGGTGGAAAAAGGGACCACGTACTAACACTGACAAACTGCGGGGAGGCCAGCACGGCAGGCCCTGCAAACTCAGAAACGGAAAGTAACCACACAGGGGAACATAAGAACCCCTAACGAGAAGCGGTGATGGCGGTGGAATATCCTAGGCCCGTAGCTTCCTTGACCCATTACTTTAAGTGAGCCTGTCTCCTCTTTTGACATCCAAGATAACATACCTACAGAATGTCAGAGTAATTTCCTTTTCCAGACAACTCAGGGCACACCCACCAACCAGAACACAGAACCCCCGCACTGTCATCTTGTTCCCCAAATACTGTCTATGCAAATGGTAATTCGCTGTCCTGTGCCCACCAGTGTAAAAGCATGTGTGTGTGTCTGTCGGGTTACTTTGCATTCGATCCCAGAGTTTCCCCCACTTTGCTTTCTCCTGCCCCCTTAATCTGTCACCAATGAATTCCAGGTAACCCTCCTTAAGTCTCCTCCTTTAAGCTGCAAACTGCCCTTCTCCAGAGCATTTTCTCAACTCGGGGAGATTTTGCTTCCCGGCAATGGTCATCAGTTTGGCTCAAATAAACTCATAAAAATTCTTTATAGGTTTGGACATTTCTTAGTGGACACCTCCAATCCTCAGCACCTTGCACTCTGTGCCCCCGTTCACGTTTTCTCTTCTCCCCCTGCTCTGCCTCTCGTGCCCCATTCATTCTCCGGCCCCCCACCTCCCTCTCTCAGCCCCAAGCCCGTCCCGGCAGCCGTGGCCACAGCATCCCGATGGCAGCGCAGGCCCCTTACCCGGGCGCGGCAGGCCTGCAGCGGCCGGGCGGCCCTCGGACGGCGTGAGGCGCCCGCGGTCCGGCGTGGGGACGTGGCCGGCAGTAGAGCAGAACCACCCGGAGCCAGAGCACTAGGGCGGCCGCCCGGGCCCGCCCCGCCCCGCCCGGCCCCAGGAAGTGACGTCACTGGAAGGCGTGCCCCGAAGTGGGGCGGGGCAGCCTCTGCAGGCGCAGGGATCCGCTAGGTGGTGACTGGCGCCGCCGAATGCGAGTTGAGAAAGGGGCGTGGTTTCTACAGGCCCCGCCCACTAAGGCGGTCCAGCTATGTCTCCCACGGGCCGGAAGTCGCTGTTCCAGACTGGTCTTTGGCGGAAGTGGTCCTTGCGGGTCTCTGCCGGCTTGGATATGGGCACCTCGCTGCAGCGATCGGCGTGCCGGGCCTGGGGCAGGGTCAGATCAGATGTACCCCAATGGTTCACAGAGAACCGAGGGGGTGACCCTGCCATATTCCTGCCCTCCTCCCTCAGACTTGAGCCAACCCCTGGGTGCCCGCGTTGTGGAGGGAAGGGTGGTACTAGTAATAGCAGCGATGGCAGCTTACAACTTGCCAAGCCTTGTGCTTGGTTCGGTGACTTTCTGGCAGGTCCGGTGACTTAACCACTGCAGGAGCCCTGTGAGCTGCTTCACCTCCATTTTACAGACGCAGAAAGCGGGATAACAACGGGGAAGTGGCGTGTAGGGTTATGCTTATTTCAAAGGTATGCTAACCTAGATGCACAGGAACAGTCCACAGGGCCTGCTTAAGCCAAAGATAGGACGTTTACTAAGGAAGTTATATGCCTGGGGTGTGGCTATGGACCATGACCTGCCCAGTTGGAAATTTATGATCAGATCATCCAGTGAGGTTACCTTGCATAGAAGCTCTTCTTCCTGCACGCATGGCCGTTCACCAAAGGCTTTATTTTCAGACAGTTTGATAACCTGTCTGGTGGTGCTGGGCTAGGAAGCTAAGCCAGACAGAAAATTAAGGTGTACAGAGACAGGATGAACTCCCCAGCTCTGAGCTCTGGGAACACCTGAAAAGCAATTCAGAGCTATCACCACCCAGTTCAACCTCATAGTTTTAAATTGTGTAGAACTTACCCGGCATAGGAATTTGCTAAGACCTAGGCCAGTTGGTAAGGTTTGTGAAGACAAGATTTCTTGCTTTGTGTTTGCTTTAATTTTCCAACTAGCTCAGATCTAATGTGAGAAGTGCCGTGTCTGTATTCACTTCACATGTGAAAATACACCAAAACATCCAGTTTTAGTTCTACTCTTGCCTTCTTCAAAAATCGATGTCTCTGTGACTCTGTGTTTCCATTTCCTTCTTGGCAAAATCAGGACCACTTTACTCCTAGTCTGAGCCTTCCCTCTCGAGGGGCTCACGGTCTAGAGCAGGGGTCTGCTAGCCATTTACTTTTGTAAATAAAGTTTTATTGGGAATACAGTTATGCCACCTGGTTGTGTATCATCTGGCTGCTTTTGCACCACAAGGGCCGAGTTGAGTAGTTTGAGTCGTTAGATTATGGTTCACAAAGTTTACTGCCTGGTTCTTTACAGAAAATGTTTGCCAAACCCAGTCTAGGATGTTACTAGAAAATGGGTTTCAGGCAACAATGGAAATATCTTGCCTAGATGGTCCAGAATACAGGGAAACACATTTTTTCAAAGGGGAATCTGGTACCTTTTTGGTAGATTGGGTCCCCTGGAACCTGGTGCCTATTGAGCACAGCCCTGGACACTGCATAGTGTCTCTTCTGAAGAGTCAAGCCGGGTGGGCCAGCTTCTTCTGATGGCAATGATGAATGAAAGACAGAGAAGGATACACTAAGTCCTCAAGCTTCTGTCTCAGGGCACAGGCCGTGTCAGGCTTTCTATGCAGAAATAGCCAATAACAAACTCAAAGCTTTGTCCTCTTAGTTGTTGAATTACAATGTTATTTGAATTTAAGGCCATGCCAGAGTCCACATATGAACATAGGGCTCTTGAGTTACACTATCTGGTGTCATATCCTGGCTCCTTCATTTTTAAAAAAAAAAATTTTTTTTTATTGATTTCAGAGAGGAAGGGAAAGGAAGAGATAGGTAGGAACATCAATGATGAGAATGTGCCCAGAATGTGCCTGCCACACGCCCCACACTGGGGATCGAGCCCACAATCTGGGCATGTGCCCTGACTGGGAACTGAACCATGACCTCCTGGTTCATAGGTCCATGCTCAACCATTGAGCCATGCTGGCCAGGCTGGTTCCTTCACTTTTTAACTGAGTGACAGCAGGCACAAGCTTTAGACTAGACTAGGCCCTCTGTGCCTCAGTTTCACTATATAGTCAATTCTCATTACGGTAGTTTTGTTTAATAAAGTCTCTGTGAGCACTGACATAATGAATGCTGAACCAAGACTCCTGGGCGGGATAAACAAAGCCAACACTTCCCTTCATGCTCTACCCTTTATTGATATTATTAATTGAAGGTTCATTTTATGCTCTGAACACAAAACTAAGGGCATTTAGTTGGAATGGGGATTGACAAACATTTTCTATAAAGGACCAGGCAGTAAATATTTTAGGCTTTGTAAGCCATACTGTGTGTCTCAGTGGTTGAATGTCAACCTATGAACCAGGAGGTCATGGTTTGATTTCCCAGTCAGGATGTTCAGGAGGCAGCCGATTGATGATGCGTCTTCCTCATCGATGTTTCTATCCCTCTATCCCTCTCCCTTCCTCTCTCTCTAAAAAATCAATAAAGCCCTAGCTGGTTAGGCTCAGTGGATAGAGTGTCAGCCAGCAGACTGAAGGGTCCCAGGTTTGATTCTGGTCAAGGGCACATGCCCAGGCTGTGGGCTTGATCCTCAATAGGAGGGCGTGCAGGAAGCAGCCAATCAATGATTCTCTTTCATCATTGATGTTTCTATCTCTCTCTCCCTCTCCCTTTCTCTCTGAAATCAATAAAAATATTTTTTAAAAAATCAATAAAAACATTTAAAAAATATTTCTTGGTTTTAATTTCTGAAATGGTACATATCAATAGATCAAACCCTTAGAGAATTCTTTGGGATCCTCAAGTCAATTTTATGCTCAAAAGCCAAGAATTAACTCCCGTGTGTGTGTGTGTGTGTGTGTGTGTGTGTGTGTGTGTGTGTGTGTATCTGGCCACCTGTGCTGGGATTAGCTTGGACACTTCCCTCACTACCGCCCTCAGTGAGGTCATGGTTCCCAGGACTCGCCATGAGCCCCGTGGCACAGAGAGCACCACGTGGGAGGGAGAGTTATTACTGCTTTACTTTGGGAGGGGTGAGGGTGGGAAGAGGAACATGAGGCTTACCTGTTCTTTATGGAGTTCAGAAAACAGTTTTGTAACATTTAATGAGATGGGGAAATGCTCTGGAAATTATTATTATTATTTTTGTTTTACAAAGCAGGCACATTCTGGGCCCACGAGCTTTGTATTGTTCTTCTGTCTGCAGGTTCTCCCTCCAGACCTCTTGACCCATGAACCAGGAGGTCGCAGCTCGATTCTCAGTCAGAGCACATGCCCAGGTTGCAGGCTTCATCCCTAGTGGGGGGCGTGCAGGAGGCAGCCGATCAATGATTCTCTTTCATCATTGATGTTTCTATCTCTCTCTCCCTCTCTCTGAAATCAATAAAAAACATATTTCAAAAAAATAAAGAAAACAGGTCTCCAGAGGTTCAGCAACTTGGCCAAAGGCATGCAGTGGGCATTCGGCATTTGGCATCCCCCGGAGCCCACGTCCTTTCCTTTTATCTTATCTTGACAGCATCAGTATGTGCGGGTCCTGGCGAGGTCCATCTTGGGAGCCGCCCCTCCCCCCACCCCCTCCCCCGACTCCCACCCCCCGCCTATTTTCACAGCTGTTTCTTCTTTGAAAGCAGCGCTCCAGGAAGAGCCTGGCAGGACTAGATACTGCTGCCCCCTCGTGGCCGCACGGCTCACTGCAGGACCCAGCCGGGAGCCACTCTGATCTTCCCCCTCCAAAAAGACACAGGGCGTTCGCTGTAGGAAATAAAATAACGGGGTCTGCAGCTCCACGCTTTGCTCGCGGAGGGATCTTCGTCAAGACTGAGATCCAACCTGCCCCGGGCCTCGGTTTCCCCCTCTGTGGAATGGGCGTCAGGAGGACTCCGAGGCGTTCCTGGAGAACCTAGCACACAGACTCGGAGGAACACTCCCTGTGGCCTCTGGCCCAGATTGCGCAGCGGGAGGCCAGGGGTTCGCCCCTTCCTGGCAAGGAGAAAACAAAGTCTGGGTACAAAGTCTGCAGGGAGCTGGTGGACTGTGAGGCGGGGCCGCCCTTCAAAGGCGCCGCGTGCTCTGCCCGCTGCCCGCCTTGATCTTTGGGCAGAGATTTATTGACACGCAGGGAAGCACCGTGGCCCGGCCGGGAGGGGCGCGGGCAGCAGGCGCACCAGCCTCGGGCGCTCCGCCTCGCTGCGGACCGGATGGGGCTGAGGGCCAAGGGCAGGGGAGGTGCCGGTGAACCCGAGGGTCTCTCTCGGACTTGGGAGGGTTCGCCCTCCCACTGCAGACCCCAACCCGGACGGAGGTGCCGGCGATCCTGGGCTGGGTCTCCCCTCGCACCGTGCTCGCACAGGAACCCAGAGGAGCCCCAAAAGCTCCATGGGGCACCGATTCCCGGGTTAGGAGATAGAACACCCCACAGTGTTCCACAGTCTGCGGGCTGGTTTATAACCTTTTATTTTATCTTATTTTATTTTTACACTGACCACCCATCATTTTATTAGTTAGCTTTATCTTTTGTTAAGGTTTTGCCACATTTGCCAAACATATAAATATTGAAAGTACATCGCAGACT